TAAGTAACATAAGAGGATATTACCTCATTAATAAGGGATAACCCCCAACCAAATAGCCCTTAAAGATAATGTTATAATAAATGTGTTTGGTTATATTAGAATAAATTGGTGATTGTATTATATAGATATGTTTGTTTAGGAGGAATAAATTAGTGGGTATGTTATATAGATTACTGAATTGCCCTTCTTTTTTAGTATTACTATTATATTATTATTTAGATTATTTTTTAACCTACTATATTTGAGAATGTATCTAAAACACCCCCATAATAAAAGTTAAAAAATTAACAAAAACACCCTAACCACCTTAGCCACTGCCGGTCGCTAGCAGTGGTTTCCGAAAATGGCTAGAATAGATATGGCCATTTTCGGCCAAATCCATGACTAGATTGGCGCACAGTCGGCTAGATTCAGTTGGTCATGCGACATTCCGGCACCCGCGATGGTGGCCAAATCCAGCTACCCGTCTTAGGTAATTATTTTCAAGTTCAAGGTTATTTATATCTTAAAATTTTTGTATATAAGGATAAAATAGTTCATGAATATTTTTGTAAATTGTTTTCAAAACAAGGGCATTATTGTCTAAAAAATTTAATAGTTAAAGATAAAATTATAAAAAAATTAAGATTACCAAATAACCTTAAAAGACCTAAGAAAAATGTGGTACTAATAGCCATTACTATTGGTTTTGGAAGATTATCGAAATTTTATATTACTTGACAATCAAACATGATAATCTAAGTAATATAAGATGACATTTTCTCAGTAATGAGAGATAACCCTTGACCAAACAACCCTTTAACATCAAAAAATAGAAGTTTAAACTTTAAACGGATTATAGTAAATAGAATAAAATAGAAGATTTAGAGATTGTATGGGCATAAAATCGTTTTCGGCCTGACGAGGCCCAATGACGAAATAAATATGTCACAACCTAAGGCTTTAGCCCAATTCCAATTGGGCCTACGCTTAAAGTTAAGCCATCTTGTGAACTGCTCACTCTATGAGTTGGGCTATTCTACAAGTTAAGCTAAATTGAGTTTCGGCCCATTAGCCTGCAATAGTCCATAGATTGAAAATCAGAATCCCATTCTATTTCCTCTTTTACTAAAATTCTAAATCTTATTCAAATTAGTAAACTTAATCTGATAAAGGCAAAAACTCTATTTCTTTCCTGATAGTGATTATCTCTCAAAGTCGGACTCAATGTCTTCTTAAGATTCCAACCCCTTGGGTTCACTGTGTCCTACTCCTAAATTCTTGCTCCTGAGAATTTTACACATTCGTCGTGGTCTTGGCCTCCGACAAGACTTCTGCTAATATTTCTTTCCCTAATTCTCATCAAATCATCTCTTTCAGCCTTACTGATTTGAGCGTTGGAGTGTCTACGACAAACACCACTTCGGTGTTTTCTGTAAGCTTCACGCTTATCTTTTCATGTATGCAGGTCTAACGAATTGTCAGTGGCCTCAACCTCACGGGATTAAACCCTATTTCCCGTAAAGTATATTTTTTTGCATCTACATAGATCAAGAAAGAAAAAAGGATTTAGAGTTCTATGAAAGAAGTACTTTTAAAATATTTGGAGTGGTATTAAAACATTAAAGGCCCTTTTGGTAATTACAACTTTAAAAAATATATAACTTTTAGGAAAATAATTTTTGGGCTTAGAAATATGTTAATTAGTAGTTCCATGTTTTTATTTTAGGAAAAAAAAATAAATTTCCGTTTCATTTTGTTACTTTTTGTATATGATGTATTGGGTGGTTTTATTATTATTATTATTATGATCATTATCATCATCATCATATACAATTCTCTCTCTCTTGAAAATATTTCACCAGAAGGATTATAATATCTTACAAAGATTCTTTAAATTATATCTTTCAAACAATTGAACAATTGAATTCAATTTATATAGAATATGCAAGTTTAGACATTGAAATTCAGAATATATATGAGAAAGTGTTTCGTTTTTAGAGAAACATGTTTTAAATAATTTTTAAAAAGTATTTAAAACATACTTTTATTTTTTTTCTTCAAAAGAAAAAAAAATGTTTAAGCATTTCAAAGATGTGTTTAGGTTTTTTCTTTGTGCACAAAATATATTGATATAATACATCTTTTTCTTTTTCTATCTACATATGTTTTTAATACGTCCTCAAATTAAAAAAAATTACAATATATAACTACTTTCATAAATTTTTTTTTTTTTTTAGAAAAGCATTTTTTTTCTTTGTTGGAATCAAACAGTTCAAAATAGAAACTAAATATTTAGCATCAGGTGGTCTGTGATAAAAGAGCAAAATGAGGTTTTATGAGCTCTTGAGTTCGAGTCCCTTTAAGCCTTAATAGGAGTAGACATTAGGGTTCTTATCTGGCCTACAGTTCTAAACTCCGAAGGATTAATTGAGGCACTCACAAACTAGTTCGGACACCCCCTATGAATAAGAAAAAATGGAAACTAAATTAAATTAACTAATAAGAAATTGTATATGAAGACTCATATTAGATGTTATAATTAATATTAAGTGGAATACTTATTATAAAACAAGTAACGAGGTATTGGGTACATCAGCTATGCACAATCAACCAAAGTCAAATTTTAAAAGTGGAGTTGTTGAATAATCTCTAGAATACTTTTTACTTTATTGAGTTTCCTTCCAGCTGCTGAAAGCCATCAAAACGACATAGAAACTTGTAGTTGTAGTCAAACAATTAGTAATCAATCAAATAAACTCAATTATTGATTGAACAAGCGCAAAATTCTTAATGGATGGATCTTCATCTCTAAATATTCCTTTCATTATTCATTGCCTTGAGTCAAAAAAATAAAAAATAAAATAATCCTTTTGGTGTTGAAGTCTATAAAGTTGTTTCTTTCGCTCTAATTCATTTATATGTGATTTGATTCAATTAAAGCATGGCACTCACTCAAATAACCATAATTAAAACGCACTACCCCTTTTTTTTTATTATTATTTATATTATACTTTATGAGGTCTTTTTGTGTCTTTGTATAGCGGTAACTTTATTGTTTGGTCTTAGTTTGAATTGGGTTCATACTTCCAAGACTTAGATAATTTAATATTTAAATTTGTCATATTTATGTGGTTTATTATATTATATGCAAGTTGTTGGAGCTTTCAACAGCAAGATTTCTCATAATTTTCTATTCATTTATTTGTTGGGAGGAAAAGGGTTTGAAGCATCCCAACAGGTGATCTATTATTGTTATTATTATTATTATTTTTTATGATCGGGGTGTCTGACCCAGTTAGCATGCATCTCAACAAATCTTTCGAGATCTTAAAACTATTGATCGAGTAAGAGTTCTAATAACCACCCATATTAGCAATCATAGGGTTTTAAATTCAGAAGATCATGTTAGATCCTTCTCTTACTCTTTTATTATTAATGGGACTTGAATTTAAGAGGAGAGTGATCTATTATTGAAAACCAAGCTTAAGGTTAAGTCTATGGTAAATTGTAAGAGAGTTTATCAATAATTTTTTATATGTTGATAAATATTATGTAGATATTTAATATCTTCAATTTCTCTCTTACGTCTATTAGATTCCATTAATTACATAATCGATAATTTATGAAGCGTAGAAACGTTGCATGATGAAACTTATCTAAGATTCTTCATTAAATAAATTTAGAAAAAGGTGAATTGAAAAAGAAGTAAAAAAAAAAAAAAAAAAATAGCAGGTAATAACCATCATTGGATGGTCTAGAGATTAACTAAGACTCTTAAGTATATTATTCAAGAACTTGTGTTCGATTTAGTTTGACCTCTAATAAGGATGGCCACTTGAATTCTTCTTAGTTGGTAGTTACAAAGACTAATTGAGGTGCATACAAATTGACTTAAATACCCTTGATCATTAAAAAAAAAAAAAAATGATAGTGATTTATGCCAAGTTGTTATGTACAAAGATGAATACATGCTTGAAAAAAAAGTAAAATTCAGGTAGAATCAAGAACTTTTTTCACACAACGTATAACTTATCTTTAAGTTAGGCAAGCATTACTTTCACTTAATCATATTTTCCCATTTCTCTCTCTCAAAAATTCCACCATTAAACCTTATCTTTTATCTTTTGGTATACCCCATTCAAACTAGCTTCAACAACTTGTCGAATGACATGTTGATCCCTAATCTCTTGTGAAAGAAAATTTTCCTCCTTTTGTTTCAAAAACACCCAATGTTATCCCAAATTTTTCGAATTCAAACATTAAACTTAATCGAGAAAGGATAATCTTGTTAATTCACCTCACATATATAACATCATGCAGACACAAAACCTAACTTAATGACTAAAATCTTTTGACTAAATACAAATAAATCCTAAAATCTCTTGAAATTAATATCCCTTAAATACATATTCACAAACCCACAAATCCACAATGGAATGATCAAATTTATGATTTTGGACGAACTTTTTAGGATTAATCTTTTATATTTGATGGTTTCATAATTTAATAAATATTTATTCTTCTAATTATGAAAGCGAGGGTAATATAAGAATCTTAGTGGTCAAATAGAAAATGAGATGGACATGCATAATATTGTGGATAATATTGGGTGTTTCAAAATTGAACGATAAATTAGGGGTCAAAATGTCATTCAGCTACAACTTAAAATAATAAATGGAGCTCACTTTTTAAGGAGATGAGGTTGTGGTTGTCACCGACTTTGTTTGACGGCCAAATGGCAGTCATACATTCACAAGCTGGTCAACCATGGTGGCCATAACCGTCCAAATCTTTAATGTTCTTCACCCCTCATTTCTGCACTACTGGTGTTTGCTTCCTTTTTCTTAATCACTTTCTGTTTCTTTTTATTGGGCGAACGCCACGCATGTATCATTTACTGTAGCTCAGTTGACTCTAACTTACGTAAATATATTTTCTTTCCTTTTTCTTCCATCCATCCATCGACAAGATCCACAAGCCTATCTCATCATGTGAAGTGTGAACTCGTTACAAAATTCAAGCCAACCTCGTGCTCAATTGTTTTAGTCTTCGGACTCCTACTTTTCTTCCACACTTGTCTTACTTCAAACAGTGACGATTATAATTTTAGTTTAATCAAATTTATCAAAACCAGAGGATTCTCCCTCTCACCGTCCAACATGTCTGTGCGTCAAGTTTTCTGGCAATGGCCACCTTTGATGCTTCTATTTTTTCTTCTTTTTGTTGTGTTAGCTTCTCCTTCTAAAGCTGATGAGATTCAGATATTGCTCAGCTTGAAATCCCACCTCAAAGAATCGAATACAGGTGTTTTCATTTCGTGGACAGAAGGGAATTCTGTGTGTAACTTTACTGGAATAGTTTGCAATAGTAATGGACTTGTTTCAAAAATCAATCTTCCTCAACAGAACCTAGTTGGGGTTGTTCCCTTTGATTCGATATGCGGGCTGCAATCACTGGAGAAGATTGATCTTGGTGGGAATTCTTTGTATGGTGGCATTACTGCAGGGTTGAAAAATTGTACAAGATTGCAAGTTCTTAACTTGGGGTTAAATTCTTTTTCTGGAGAGGTCCCTGAGTTGTCTTCATTACACAACTTGAATTTCTTGAATTTAAACAACAGCGGAGTTTCCGGGACTTTTCCTTGGAAAGCAGTACAGAATCTTACCAGCCTTGCTTTCTTGAGCCTGGGGGATAATCCATTTGATTCAACACCATTTCCTGTGGAGGTCCTGAAGCTTGAGAAGCTGTATTGGCTTTACCTCACGAATTGCAGCATGAGAGGAGAGATTCCAGATGGCATTCAGAATCTTACTCTCCTGGAAAATCTTGAACTCTCTGATAATCAAATGTCAGGTGAAATCCCTTCAGGAATTGGGAAGCTGAAGAAACTTCGGCAGCTTGAGCTTTACAACAATTCCTTTACAGGAAAACTCCCTGTTGGACTTAGAAATCTAACAAGTCTTAAGAACTTCGACGTGTCACAAAATAGGCTTGAAGGTGACCTCTCAGAGTTGAGATTCTTGAACCAACTTGAGTCACTGCATCTCTTTGAAAACCAGTTCTCAGGGGAGATTCCAGTGGAGTTCGGTGACTTCAAGAACCTGATAGAACTTTCTCTTTACAGAAACCAGATCACGGGTTCACTTCCTCAAAAGATTGGTTCGTGGACTGGTTTCGAATACATTGATGTTTCGGAGAATTTCTTGACGGGTACAATTCCACCAGACATGTGCAAGAATGGCATGATGACTGATCTTCTTGTGTTGCAGAACAAGTTGACTGGAACAATCCCGGAAAGTTATGCAAACTGTAAGTCTTTGAATCGTTTGCGTGTAAATAACAATTCACTTTCTGGTAGTGTTCCTCCTGGAATATGGGGTTTGCCAAATCTTTCTGTAATGGACCTCTCTATGAATCAGTTTGAAGGTCCAGTGACTGGTGATATAGGTAATGCCAAGTCTCTTGGACTATTGACTTTATCTTACAACCGGTTTTCTGGTGAATTACCTCCTGGGATTTCTCAAGCTTCATCATTAGTCACAATTTTTCTGGATTCAAATCAATTTTCTGGCCAAATCCCATCAGAGATTTGCAAATTGAAGAAGCTAGGTAGCCTTTATTTAAATGAAAACATGTTTTCTGGTCCCCTGCCTAACACTCTAGGTTCATTTGCTTCTCTCACAAGCATCAACTTTGCTCGTAATTCACTTTCCGGGAAAATTCCTGATAGTCTTGGGTCTCTAACTACATTGAACTCCTTGAATTTATCTAAAAACGAGCTTTCTGGTGAAATCCCAGTTTCTTTGTCATATCTGAAATTGAGCCTTCTGGATTTGTCTAACAACCAATTGGTTGGTCCAGTACCTGAAGCTTTAAATATTAAAGCATTCAGTGAAGGCTTCAATGGAAATCCTGGCTTATGTAGCCAAAATGATGATAATTTCAGGCCATGTTCGTCAGATTCTGGGACATCTCATCATCTGAGGACATTTCTGTGGTGTTTTATAGCTGGAACACTAGTCCTGCTTATTTCACTTGCATGTTACTTGTTTGTCAAGTTAAAACAGAACATTCCTGAAAATTCATTGAAGAAGAATTCTTGGGATATGAAATCATTTCGTGTATTAAGCTTCTCCGAAAAGGAGATTATTGATGCTGTCAAGCCGGAGAATTTGATAGGCAAAGGAGGGTCAGGCAATGTGTACAAAGTTGTACTTAACAATGGCAAAGAACTAGCAGTGAAGCATATCTGGCCTTCAAATTCCATTGACCGGAAAAACTGCCGAACCAGCTCAGCTATGCTAACAAACAGGACTTTCCGATCATCGGAATATGTTGCCGAGGTAGCAACATTGAGCGCAGTGAGGCATGTGAATGTGGTGAAGCTGTACTGCAGTATCACCAGTGAAGACAGCAATCTGCTGGTTTATGAATACTTGCCCAATGGAAGCCTATGGGACCGACTGCACACGTGTCACAAGATCCTTATGAGTTGGGAGGTGAAATATGCTATCGCGGTGGGGGCTGCAAAGGGATTAGAGTATTTGCATCATGGGTGTGATAGGCCTGTGATACACCGCGATGTGAAATCCAGTAACATTTTGCTGGATGAAGAGTGGAAGCCCAGAATTGCTGATTTTGGACTAGCAAAGATTATGCAGGTTGGTGATGGAGGAGATTGGACTCATGTCATTGCTGGAACTCTTGGATACATAGCTCCTGGTAAGTTTGTCCTTTCTTGCTATTTTTATGTTAGTTTCTTCAGTTCATTAGTTTCTTATGCTCTTTGATGATGCAGAGTATGCCTACACTTGCAAGATAACTGAGAAGAGTGATGTCTATAGCTTTGGGATAGTTCTACTGGAATTGGTCACAGGAAAGAGGCCAATTGAGCCAGAGTTTGGAGAGAACAAGGATATAGTGCACTGGGTATGCAGCAAAATGAAGAGCAAAGAGACTTTGCTTGATGTGGTAGACTCAACCATCTCAGAGGCTTCAAAGGAAGATGCCCTCAAAATTTTGACAATTGCCATGCATTGCACCACCAAAATTCCAGCACTAAGACCATCCATGAGAATGGTAGTGCAGATGCTGGAAGAGGCAGCGCCTTGTATGCTTACAGACATTGTCGTTGATAAAGAGGTCAAAAGCAGTCCAATTTCAAAACAAACATTCTATGATACCAAGATATGAGTATTACTTTCTATAACCTCAGCTTGTAAAATTGCAGTGGACTTGGCTGCCAAAGGTAGGAGTTCCCAGGCATTAAAATTATTAGTATTTGTATAATTTTAGGTATCAGCTCAAAAGAGAGAGCAGATTTCCATTGTAATCTAACAACCAACTTCCGAAAGCAAATAATGTCTTCAATTTTGGTACAAAAGGAAACAGTAGCCATTACAGTGGTTAGTTTCTCTTGTAAACTCATCTGCAAGTAGCAGAAAATGTGCTTTTCTGGAGAAGATATCAAAATAGATTACTGGGCATCTTTTAGATTAAATTCTTAGATAAGAATAAGTTCTTGTTAAAGATTCTTTTATCTTTAAGAATATCACGTTATCTAATATAATACCATCTCAATACCTAAAATGACTTGGACTGACATAGACACCTTACCAAACCTTACCTGAAATTACTGAATATTACACACTCCATCTTCCAAAAACTTCCATTTTTAATATTGTCAATTAACTTTCTCAACCAATATTCATAAAAATTATAAGTTGAAGCTTTCCACAAAAATCAAACTCAGTATGACAATCACAAAAATTAAACTGGTTTAGCTTTTTATTATTTTTTTTTATTTTTATGAGCGGGACTCTCGGAGTCCTGAAACTATCTATTGGTTAAGAGTTTCAATGGTTATCTCTATTGGCTATTAAGGTGGGGTAAAAACTATATTGGTTACTATACACAAGAGTTCCTACTAACCACTAAACCATCTAAGACCCTATTTTAGCTTTTATTGGATCAAAATACTAAATATGAAGAAATTTTTTTATAGCTAATTAATCAGATTGGATTAAGGTTAAACACTTCAACAACAATACAAAATTACAAATTTATTACAATCATAAGATGGAAACATCAAAATATTTTAGAACAACATATTCTTATAATATGACACGTTATATTATATTTTTGAGTAAACGACATATTCTTAGCCAAGGTTTGACGAAATCCTAAGTTGGTACCACAGGTTCCATTTATTTCAGATTCCCACCCTTAAAATAACACTGTTAACATTTTTTAGGATAGTGAGGGTGCAATTACCATAATGCCCTTTAACTCTAAATTAATAAATTATATTTTAACCCCTAAATTACTAAAATTATAAAATTAACCATCTTATTTTGAAATTACATCAATTACACCCTCAGTGATTGTGCACCGTCTCGGTTTTCACCGGATCTGGCTATTTCTGATGCCGGCAAAACCCCTGGTCACCTCCATCACCTTCCCCATCATCCGTCGTCCAAAACCCCTCTGGTTCCCGACTCATTGGGCCCTCCGATCGCCGGTGCTGTCAAGCTTAGGTTTTCGTCGTTCTTCGCCGGATTCTGGTCGATTCCGACGACGAAAATCTAATTCGACGTCACCACTACAATCAGCGTCTCCTAATCTACAAAACCCCTATATCCCAGCAACCGTTTAGTGGCCATTCGCCGGTGGACACCGACGAAAACCAGTCGCATGTAGCGGCTGTCGTGGCTGGAGATCGGCGGGCGATGAAGGGTTGTCAAGGGTATGGTTTTGTAAAGGGAAGGATGAAGGTTTGAATGGTGATGACAAGAGTGATTTTAGGTGGAAGAATCGCTGGAAAAGAGCGAAAAACGACGGCGGCGATGTTGCTAACGTGCATCGGATTTTTGTTAAGGGCGGCGATATGCTAATGTGCGCCTCCTCTGTGAAATAACCAATTTTCCCCTGAGCTGTTATAACTTATATCTAACCATTTCCCGTTACTTTAAGGGTGAGAATCTGGAATAAATGGAACCTGTGATACCAACTTGGGATTTCATCAAAACCTTGGGTGAGAACATGTCGTTTACTCTATATTTTTTAACCTAAGTATTTACAACATATAAAATATATATTAATAATCATATAATGATGGCAATTGGACATTTGGGTATTGATTCTGGTAATAGAACTTTACACTTTTTTACATAAAACATAGAATGAGTTTACTAGGTTTTGGTTCTAAATTCTTCATTTCAAATACTTGTTCTTCTTCTCCTGTGCTTCCTCTCATTTCCTCTACTTCTTTTTCCTCCCACCTCCAATTCCATCACAATTTCACTCTCTCAGGTCTCTTTCTTTCCCTCTCTGTTGAATTTTGCAAATGCTCAACTGGGTTTGTTTTGTTTTTGCTTTAGATTATGTAAATTATTATCTGGGTTTGTTTGTTTGATTGATTATTTCTGTTAGTCGCTAAGGTTATGCTAACGATCATCAGGGTTTGTTTGATTATTGTTGTTTTTGGCTAAGGTTATTCTGATTATCATCAGGGTTTGTTTGGTTGTTGTTTGTTGCAAAGTGTTAGCTTTTGGTGGTTTTTTTTTTTTTTTTTGAACATATCTTCACCCCCTCTGTACTATTTTTGTACAAAGCAATGCCTCTATGAATGTTTTTAGCTTAATTATTGAAACTTTTTATTTCCTTAATTTAAAGAGTATGCAATATGATGGTGATAACTCAGCGGAAGATCCTGAATATACATTAGTTGGCTATATGTTAATGATTTTATAGTTCTCAAGATTTGTGGTTTTTAAGGGGTTTGTTAATATTTTCTTGTGGTATAGGGAGGAAGAATTTAGTCATACACGCACAAAATATTGGTTATAACAGTGAGCCAAGTCTTATTGATGTAATGGAATCAGAAAAGGAATTACCGCAAGTGAATAAAAATCTTTATCCCCATATAGAGCCATATAGTACTGGATTTTTGAAGGTTTCTGATATTCACACAATCTACTGGGAGCAGTCAGGAAATCCGAATGGGCATGTGAGTAGCCATTGCTCGTATCTTTTACTGGATTGTTTACATACTTTATCTCTTTTGCATTGTGTAATGTGTATTTCTGTAACTGATTTAAGCGAGCTGTCATTGTAAATGGACTACCATTGGTTTGAGTTTCTGTGGAATTTGAATTACTCTGTTCTATTCTCATTGTGTTGGAGACTGTCTTTTGTTTGTTTCAGAGCTTCAGTAACAAAGGGCATTATGAATATTAAAAAAATTGCCACATTTGTATCTAGTTTGGTGTTAATGGTGACTTTTACCATGTGTATGTCATCAACTTTAGAACCTATATGAGGTGATTTACAAATTTAAATGTACTCGTGACACAATGGTTGTGGCATGCAGTAGTTGGCTTCTATCCTGGCGTTCTTTGTGAACTTTCTAACTTCTTTTGTTTTGTTATTTTCTTTCGATCTATCTTTCAGCCAGTTGTCTTTCTTCATGGGGGTCCAGGAGGAGGTACTGCACCGAGTAATAGAAGATTCTTTGATCCTGAATTTTACCGCATCGTTCTATTTGATCAGGTTACTCTTTTAACCTTAATGGGAATTTATCAGCTATGATTTACCTCTGTAAACTAGGATATATCCTTTTCTCAGAGAGGAGCAGGAAAAAGTACACCCCATGCTTGCTTGGTCGAAAACACCACATGGGACCTCATTAATGACATTGAAAAGCTGAGACAACATTTGGAAATTCCAGAGTGGCAGGTCAAGTTTTGTTTCTGTTTCTTGGTAAAGAAATAAAATTCTTATGATCAATTTTATATCCATCATGGATGTAACTTTCTCTGGCTAATTGTGCAGGTGTTTGGTGGGTCATGGGGAAGCACACTTTCTCTTGCATACAGTCAGTCACACCCTGACAAGGTGTGTAACTTTTCTTGGCTTGCCATTGTTGTTTGTTTGGTTGGAGCTCGCTGAATTCTGGAAATAAGATGGCTGTTATTTAATTAATTCTTGACATGGATAACTGATAGATTTTTGATAGTTTCTGTGTGATGTTTAAGGTCACAGGCATGGTCCTTAGAGGGATATTTCTTTTGCGAAAGAAAGAGATTGATTGGTTTTATGAGGGAGGTGCTGCTGCCATTTATCCAGATGGTACGCCCCATACCATTCTTTGGTACTTTTGGATGATTGTTGTCAATCCAGGATATGTGGCTTCTTGTTTTACCTTGTATTTAGATTTTGGTTGCAAGAAGGCTTTAGGTGATTTGTTAGATCTCATTTCATATCTGCAGGATGTAGGACTATCAAAATTGACCATGCACAATTACTAACAGAATTTTTTGGTACCGTTACCTTATATTATCTTCAAACTTCCTTTCTTATACATGTGAATGGTATTATATTTTCAACATTTTCCTTAATTTTAAGAGTTCAATAATGTCAATGGCTTAAATCTATGATAGTTATCCTTGTCTAGAAAGAATAAACGGTAAAGGATTCTACATTCATTGGAAAACATAAGATGATTTAATTTTTAGTTGTACTTAATTTGATATTGTTTTCTTGTGCTGATTAATCTTCTGATAAATTGTAAAGTTGTATAAGAATTGTGGACTGTTCTTCCATGTACAGCTTGGGAGCCGTTTAGAGACCTCATTCCAGAAAATGAGAGGGGTTCTTTTGTTGATGCCTACAGCAAAAGACTCAATTGTGATGATAAGGAGATCCAAGTAAGGGTCATCAGTTTTTTGACTTATGTCATTGTTTATTCTGCTGTTGTTGATTCCTGAACTCTTTTCTCTTCAAAGTGCTTATTGTCTTAAAAGCTAGACTTGAGTTCATATGCCTTAATGCATGTGCTACTATCATGAACAAACTAAAAGGTCCTGCCAATTAGTTGAGGAGTGACATGCTACTTGGCTGATTGCGTGGTTCAGTCTGTCTATTCTTGTTTCTGTTGTGATCTTAAGCTGCCATTTGCATATGAATTGAAGTTGTTCTCTATTTTAGAATGTAGATCCGAATGCAAGAATGAGAGAATTGTTTGTTCTCATTGATGATAAATAGCTAGGAATACAACCTATTTATAGTAATTTACAATAAGTAGCTGAAGATTAAATCCTAAAAGTATGGCTACAATCTAATTCAAATATGAGTCTAATATGATCCTACCATCCTAACCATACGTTTTTAAATTGAAATTTAAGATTAAATTACAAAAACATTTGAACCATTCAACATTTCCTCTGAAGCTGGTTTGAAAGATGTCAGTCATTCCTATCTTGCTAGTTATTGATCAAAAGATGGCTTGGGTAACCCTTTAGTGAGAATAGCAGCTAGTTGTTGTTTAGCTGGGACAGAAGGCATACAAATCAAACCTTTTTGAAGATTTTCTTTGATGAAGTGGCAATCCACTTCAATGTGCGTCGTTTGATCATGTTGCATAGGATTATGAGAGATGCGTTATTGTCATAATATAGTTTCATAGGTTTAGACATTGGAACCTTCAACTCTTCAAGTAATTTTTCAACCATAATAATTCACAAACTCCTTGTGCAACTGCTCTAAATTCAGCCTTAACACTACTCCTAGCAAAAAAAGTGTTTTTACTTCCTCAAGTTACTAAATTGTCTCCAACAAATGTACAATAGCCAGAAGTTAATATTTTGTCACTGATTGAACCAGCCTAGTCAGCGTCAGTGAATGCCTCCACCTGCATACAGTCGTTTTTCCCAAAAGACAAACCTTTTCCTGGAGTCCTCTTCAAGTATTTAAGAATTCTGTAAGCAGCTTCTAGTCTGGTAGGAGAGAGATAAATTAGCTTGCCCACAAGTTGCTGATATTGTTCCTTATCTCTTAGTTGCCCTTTAGTTTCATTACCAAGTCTATGATTAGGATCAATCGGCGTTTCAGCAGGTTTACTACCAAGTAGACAGGTTTCCTTAAGTAAATCAAGGGTACATTTTCTTTGAGAGACAAATATCCCTTTCTTGGACCTGGCGATCTCCATACCTAGAAAATACCTCAGAGCACCTAGATCCATAATCTCAAATTCAGTAGCTAGAATTATTTTTAATTTTTCTATCTCAACACTATCATTGTCTGTCATGATGACGTAGTCAACATATGCTATAAGAATAGTAGTTTTAACACCTTCCATGTGTATGATTTGCTTGACTTTGTCAATACCTATGTTTCTGAAAGAATCCAGTAAAACCTCTCAAAGCATGCTTGTGGAGATTGCTTCAACTCATAGAGAGATCTCTTCAGTCTGCATACCTCATCCCTCCCCAATTTTCCTTCAAAGCCGGGTGGTAAATCCATGTACACCTCCTTTTCTAACTCATAGTTGAGGAAAACATTTTTGACGTCAAGTTGGTGCAAAAGCCAATCCAAATTAGTAGCAAGAGATAATAAGACTTTGATTGTATTCATTTTTGCAATGGAAGCAAACGTCTCTTGGTAATCAAGGCTGTAGCTTTGAGTAAAGCCTTTTGCAACCAACCTCACCTTATATCTTTCAATAGACCCATCAGCTTTGTATTTGACTGTAAACACTCATTTGCAACCCATTGGTTTCTTATCTCTCGGTAGATTAACCATCTCCCAAGTCCCATTTTTCCAAGGTTCACATTTCTTCAAAGATAGCTTCCCTCCATTTTGGAACACTTAAGAGCATCTTGTATAGACCTGGGTATTTCTAGACATGACAAACTGGCTACAAAAGCTTTAAATGAGGAGGACAATCTATAATAAGAAACAAACATGGGATGGGATGTTTTGTACAGGTTCTAGTTCCCTTTTGAGGAGCAATGGGTAAATCAAGATCATTTGTTAACTCCTTTTGAAGAGCAATGGGTAAATCAAGATCATTTGTTGACTCAAAATTAGACTTAGGAATGGAAGAAATTTTACCTGGCAGATCTGCCTCGGGCTTAGATTCTTGGTCATGCTTATAGTCGAGGTTGCTTACTATTGTAGAGTTTGGTCGACGCCTTGAGTAAACAAGAAGCTCAGTTGGTGGAGCATTATGCTGTGATTCTCCCCTTGGTGTTGAAGGTTCTAATGGTGTGATTACTGTAGGTTCAGCTTGTGAGACTCCCCCTGGTGTTGAAGAATCTAATGTTGTGGTTACTGTTGGTTCAATTATAGGCGAAGGTAAAGACAATGGTAATGAAACTTCCCAAGACTTATCTTTCAAGGTATGATTCTCCCCCTGAAAAGAAGTTTGGGGGAACAAAAATTAGTTCTCAAAGAAGGTGACATTCATAGCAACATAGAACTTCTGAGATTGAGGATGATAACACTTTTAACATTTTTGAGTAGGAGAATAACCAAGAAAGATACATTTTAAGGCTTGAGGGTCAAGCTTGTTTCTATTTGGACGATGGTTATGAACAAAGACTATGCAACCGAAGACTTAAGGAGGTAAAGAGGTAAAAACTCTTACATTGGTAAAGATTGAATGAACACATGAAATGGTGTTTGGTATTGAAGAACACGGGTTGGGAGACAATTAATTAAGTAGGACGTAGTAAGGACAACTTCTCCCCAATATTGTTGTGGAACGCCTGTGGTAAACATGATGGACTGGTCAATATCTAATATATGTCTATTCTTTCTTTCAGCAACAACATTTTGTTGAGGAGTGTTAGAACAAGAAGACTGATGAGTTATGCCTTGTTGTGATAGAAAGTTGCCAAAGATGTGATTGAAGTATTTTTTTTTTTCCATTGTCAGTGCGAAGAACTTGAATTCTTTTTTGAATCTGCTATGATTGATGCTATTTTTGTTTTGTGTTATTTTTGAACAATTACATGCTTTACATGACTTTCTCTTGCTATTTTTAGTTTGCAGCTGCCAGAGCTTGGACCAAATGGGAAATGATGACTGCTCATCTTCTTCCAAATGAAGATAACATCAAGAAAGGGGATGATGATTATTTTTCATTGGTAAGTTGATTAAGTGGTGGGCATTATGCTTCTAGTATATTTGTTCACTATTTGAAAATACTGATGCATTTTTATATTAGAATAACTTATGTGACTTTCTGTTTATAAAGTGGCAAGCTTCTGTTTTTTTGTTAAAGTACTAACCAAGTCACCTATCAGAGCTTAAAAATTCTCTAAATGCCTTAACCTTCTGATGTTCAGAAGAGGACAAGAGGAAAGTTAGCAAAGCTAATGCCGTTTATAATTTTATCAATTTATTTATATTCTGCAATTAAGCATCAGCAAGATCTACTCTATTATTTTCGTATTAGGTATCTTTCATATTCTGGATATTAAAGATGATGTAAAACTTGATTCTTTTCATGACAGATTTTGTTTTGCTCTATTCAGGCTTTTGCAAGGATTGAAAACCACTACTTCGTGAACAAAGGCTTTTTTCCTTCTGATTCTTTCCTGTTAGATAACGTTGATAAGATAAGGCATATCAACACTACAATTGTGCAGGTATATGTATATCTCACCTTGATTAACCCATTTATTGTGGACATGCTCTCTCCGTTATTTTTTCACAACTTTGACATTGATGTTTATTTAGACAGATGAATTCATGAATGCATTGCATCATGGGGAATAGGGTAATTGGTAATTTTTTGGTCTTTTTCTTGAAAAAAAAAAAAGGATAGTAAACGAGAGGATCATCTTACCTGCTGCCTCATATGGTATAATATAGTTGACACAGTCAGGTTCATGGCATGATAGTGTATAGCATGTTTAATCTAATTTTGGAAGATATAAAAAGATTGGATAGCTAACACACTATAGTAAATATTTCTTGGTCAACTCTTTTGAACTACTGTGAGTTCATGTTAATAAATTTTCTTCACTAATTTGTTTGCATTATCATTCTTTTTTTCTGAGTGCATTCCATAACTGAACTGAAACCAAAATATTTGAACTAGACTCAAATATCAGATACTGTTTTGTAGCAAAACGCATATCATGTATAGCAAGGTTCTGCCGGAACCTAAGCTTGTTTACCTTTGAATATCTTGAACAGGGAAGATATGACGTTTGTTGCCCTATGATGTCAGCTTGGGATCTTCATAAGGCATGGCCAGAGGCAGAGTTAAATGTAATGTAACCACTTTAAGCCTATTGTCTTGCATAATATCAAGTTCCTTGGGGATCTGAGTTGTGGGAGGAACAATGGATTTTAGAACTGTCTATGATTTTGGGAAAAGCTTCTACATAATTATTAAATAAATAAATAGAAGATGAGAAAAGTTAACCTTGATGTCTTCAGTGAAGTGTATACTAGTCAATGGTCATTGATCTTTGGCATAGCTGCACATTCATCATGTTAAATGATGTTGTGCCTTGGTTGATTGCATATTAAGGTGCAATTGTGTAATATTTTGTAGCCTGCATATACTCTAGGGAAATTTTGCCTGCAGATATTGTGGGACACCTCTTTCTTCTGTTCGTTGATTGCTTGATTTGTCTTTCAATGACATTAAAAGATACTTATGATTTATGGACCCTGGGTCGAAGCAGTAAACTTCAGGGCGCTGATTATTGAAGTTTGAAATGATATTTCATTTAAAACGATTGCATTGATGCCATATAGGGCCTACTTATTGATGTTGCTGGAATGTAGTAATCGTCTTGCCGTGAAGATGTGTTTCTATGAACCATAATGATACCAAGTTTAGTTGATAAGATTCCCGTAATTGTTATAGCAAATATAATTTTGATATATCAGTAATTTCTTTCCACTGCCTTTGACAGGTTGTTCCAGATGCTGGACATTCGGCTAATGAGCCAGGAATTGCTGCAGAACTTGTGGCTGCAAACGAGAATCTGAAAAATATTGTCAAGAATGGACAATGAGAAGGACCAGGCACAGCATGATCTTTGAGGTCCAAAGCAACTTTCGGGGAAAAAAAAATGGGTCACATTCATGACAGTGTGCCTTGAAATGTACTAGAAAATATATTACAAACAAAAATCTGAGAAATTGGGTGGTTCAAGATTGAAACCCTCTTGTTGGCAATAAGCAAATCTTTAAATATGAATGAAAAATGTTTACAAGACAGTTGAAGATGGATTTGTTGTGGATTCAGAATGCATAAAGCCTTTTGTATGAAAACTAATTACAGTTATTAAAATTATGTTTAATACCAGGCAAATATCCTACTTGTTCAGATGATCATTTTGCCCTCGCTGTTGTGATTTATTCAACTTTACGCGACTTGGGGCTGTAACAATTTGTAGTTGATAATTTAGTTCTTTTACTGATTAACATGGTGTAAATTATACCAAAAAAATCATTTAATGGGAAGCATCACTTTTGGTAGTACAGCAGCAAAGAATAAAACGAAAGCTGATGATGCACAATGCGCACAGAGTGGTGAATAATGTAGAGGCAGGTCTTTATAATGTACATGTTCCACTAAGATCAGAAAGTTACATAGAGTCGCTATTTCAGTGGAAAAGAACTAGGATTGCTGTCCAGCAAGCTATAGTTTGATTTACTTTTTTATAATTTCTGTTTTCTGTATTCATACTTTTTAAGATAAATGTTTTGTCGTGCAGAAGAATCGGTAATGTCAACAAGATGTTCTATTGTTCCAATCAAAGGTCAACAATGAAACGACTAGTGGCTTATGTCGAGCAAAAACTACCAACCAGTCGTCTATTGTCGCAAATACCGAAACTGGCTCCTTGTTTCATCACAACCTTCTAGTGCACAAAATTGTTATCAGAGCAAGCATTACCCTACACGCTAAATGTAATAGCACATCATATAGGATGCAAAAATAAATTGAAATGAGAAGATAGAGTTATAGCAATTTAAATAACTTTTTCTCTGTAGTACATTACTGAATTAAAATTCTTTGACATAAAAGTTTTACACAGCACTCGAGAGATAATCTTACATTAGGTGATACCTAAGCGATGACAAAGTCAAAGTGATATCTCTTTCAACTGCGTTTGAGAAGGCAAAAATAGTTTTCTGGCATTTTGTTGTGGATGTTGCCTATATGCAGATACACGTCTCCCTTTGTACCATATTCTTATTTTATAACTTAAAAAGGGTAAGGATATAGTGTAAGGGGGATTTAATTGAATACTAGTAAATCTTAAATCCTTAAAAGCAAAAAACAGTGCGAACAAAGGACACGAAATAATCACACACATAAACACAAGATTTATAGTGGTTCACTCTCCGTATGAGAGCTACGTCCATTTCGCTGCTGTAGAATTTCATTATGAAGAAGAAAAAAAGAAATTACAAGAATCTCTCAGAGCTACGTCCACTTTGCTGCTGTAGAATTTTATTATGAAGAAGAAGAAAAAAAATTACAAGAATCTCTCACAAGCCTCATAAATTGACTCATACAATAAACCCTATTTGGTGGTTCTCACTCTCTAATTGTGGCTTTGCTTTCTATTCAATTTGTAATCTCGAACTCTAGCATTTAAACCCTTTATATAGGTAATATATGAGACACAATTCCTAATAGGACTCAAATCACATATCCTAATAGGGATTATATTTTAATTCCTAATACAATTATTCCCAATTGTATTCCTAAAAGAAAACAATTCTCCTTAAACACATTAGGAAAACCCATGTCCTAATCCAACTCTAATTTGGATTGAATTTGACTCCACAATCTCAACAATCTCCCACTTGGAGACTAATTCAACATGTCTTCAATTCTTCACTTCCATCAACAACGGCATCAACTTCTCTTTCTTCAAGAGAGAAGTCCAACTGAAGTTGTACACAACTTTAGTTTCTCAATGTTAACCACCTTTGTAAACATATCAGCTAGATTTTTACTCCCTTCAATCTTCTTGAGAGCTATAGCTCATTCTTCCAAAACTGAGCGTATGAAATGGTAACGAACTTCTATATGTTTTGTCCTAGCATGACAGACTGAGTTATTTGCCAGGTGAATTCCACTTTGGCTATCACAATGCAAAACGCTCTTCTCATAATTCTGACCCAATTCTTCTAGGAACTGCTGTAACCATATTAGCTCCTTGCTAGCTTCCGTCATTGCAACATACTCTGTCTCTGTAGTAGAGAGAGCAACAATCTTCTGTAACTTTGAAATCCAACTGATCGTTGTACCACCTAATGTAAAGATATAGCCTATGGTACTCTTGCGGTTATCAATGTCACCAGCTATATCAGCATCCACATAACCTTGTAGCTCCAAGTCTGACTTCCTAAAACATAATGCTAAATCTTTAGTACCTTTCAAATATCTGAGAATCCACTTTACTGGTTCCCAATGTTGTTTTCCTAGATTGCTCATGTACCTACTCACAACTCCCACTACATGTGCTATGTCTGGCCTTGTACACACCATGACATATATAAGACTACCAATTGTTGATGCATAGGGTACCTTCGCCATGTAGCCTCGCCCATGCTCTATTGTAGGTGACCAATCTTTAAATAGTTTAAAGTGACTAGCCAAAGGAGTACTTACTGGCTTTGCTCCATCCATGTTGAACCTATTGAGTACTTTCTTCACATACTCTTTTTGTGATAGCTTCAAGAAATCTTTGGCTCTGTCTCTGGTAATCCTCATACTAATGATTTGTTTTGCAGCTCCCAAATCCTTCATAGCAAACTCTTTTGACAATTGCCTTTTTAGCTTGTCTATTTCCTGTTTACAAGCCCCTGCAATCAACATATCACCTACATATAATAATAAGATGATATAGGAGTTACCAAGTTTCTTGAAATAATAGCAATGTTCTGCTTGACATCTTAGGAAACTGTTACTACACATGAACCCATCAAACTTCTTGTACCACTGTCTAGGCGCTTGTTTTAGCCCATTTGAAGTTTGCACACCATTCTCTCATTTCCTAGTACTTTAAGACTAGGGGTGAGCGGTTCCGGGTACCATGCATTTTTTGGGGGAACCGGAACCGGAACCGCACAGGGCAAGTTCCTGAAAAAAGAAACCGGAACCGGAACCGCATAGAGCAGGTTCTTAAATTCAAGGAACCGGAACCTAAAATGCAAGTTCCGGTTCCTTTCCCGGGTACCCAATAAAAAATCAATTACCCCCCTATTAGTTTAAAAAATGACAAAAATACCTTAAAAGTTTACAAATACATCCCTAACAAATTTTGATTACTCATTCATTTGTATCCAATGTAACTCATAAATCCTCTAATCTCTAGACAACACTTGAATTCAATCAATTCATATAAAATTTCTCAATCAAAACCAAGACACAAACAATTATTAATCTGTAAATTGTTAATTTAATGTTATAAATTATTAATGTTTATAATATAATATAATAATATTGTAATTAATTAAGTAATTATTTAATTATAATGTAATATCATAATTAATTAAGTAACTATACTATACATGTATAATATAATGTTATATTTAATTAAGTAATCATACTATAAATTTATAATGTAATGTTACAATTAATTAGATTTTTAACTATTTAATTAAGTAATGTACTAATGACTAATGTAGTAAATTAATAATGTTTTGTTTATAATGTAATGTAATAAATTTATAATAAATTAAGTAATCATTTAACTATGTAATGCTATAATTAATTAAGTGATCATAATATAATGTAATGTAATAATGTTATAATTAATTAAGTAATAATTTAATTAAGTAATCATTTGTTTATAATGTAATGTTACAATTAATTAAGTAATCGTACTATAAATTTATAATGTAATGTTAATATGTTATAATTAATTAAATTTCTAATCATTTAATTAAGTATTGTGCTAATATTTATGTAGTAAATTACTAATGTTTATAATATAATGTTATAATCAATTAAGTAATCATTTAATTATATAATGTTATAATTAATTATGTGATCATACTATAATGTAATGTTATAATGAATTAAGTAATCATACTATAAATCTATAATTTAATATTGTAATTAATTAAATTTCTAATCATTTAATTAATATACTAATGTTTATAATGGAATGTTATAATTGATTAAGTAATCATACTATAAATATATAATGTAATGTTATAATTAATTAAATTTTTAATCATTTAATTAAGTAATGTAATAATGTAGTAAATTACTAATGTTTATAATGTAATGTTATAAATTTATAACTAATTAAGTAATCATTTAACTATGTAATGCTATAATTAATTAAGTGATCATAATATAATGTAATGTAATAATGTTATAATTTAATTAAGTAATTAAGTAATTATTTAACTATAATATAATGCTTAATTAATTAAATTTCTAATCATTTAATTAAGTAATCATTTGTTTATAATATAATCTTATAATTAATGTTTATAATATAATGTCATAATCAATTAAATAATCATCTAATTATGTAATGTTATAATTAATTATGTAATCATACTATAATGAAATGTTACAATGAATTAAGTAATCATACTATAAATCTTTACTATAATATTATAATTAATTTGTTTATAATATAATGTTATAATTAATTAAGTAATCATTTAATTAATGTTACAATTAAGTTATAATGTAATGTTATAATTAATTAAATATCTAATCATTTAATTAAGTATTGTACTAGTGTTTATGTAGTAAATTAATAATTATTAATGTTTATAATATAATGTCATAATCAATTAGTAATTATTAATGTTTATAATATAATGTCACCCGATAAACCCACTTGCTTTGCAATGTCTTCTTGCCTTGTGGTAGCTCTGTCAACTGCTAGGTTTGATTTGTTAATAATGAGTCCATCTCATCCTTCATAGCTAGCTTCTACTTGATTGAGTCATCAACTTGCATTGTTTCCTCGTAACACTCTGGTTCACCACTATCAGTTAGTAAATTTAGTGCAAAGAAGGGAAGTACCTCTGTGGTGGTCTTATAGTCTTGGAAGATCTTCTAGGTTCAAACACGGGCGTTTGTGGTTCAACTTCTTTAGCTATATTATCTTGATCTTCCTGGTCATTGTCTTACATGTCATTCATTGGGAAATCTTTCAAAGAAACTACCTCTTGTTTCTTCACTTCAGTGCCTGGATTTTCTAACTTCATGTTGAGCCTATCCTTGTACATCACCTCTTCATTGAATATGACATCTCTGCTCCTTATAATCTTGTGGTTTTGGTCATTCTAGAAACGATAACCAAACTTGGCGTCACCATAACCAATGAAAAAATATTT